GTCTAGGGGAAGTAGTGACAGGTGGTGCAGGGGAGTAGGGAGCATCTATTCCAGAGGAGGACTCAGCAAAATGTTCATAGGTGCAGGACTCAGGTACTTAAGGAAAGACCTGGAAAGAATTTCAAGGTTGAGGTTACATCTAGCCAAAGGGAATGTGTGGCATGAGATAATTGGTTGAAAGCTTTAGCCAGCATACGAGATGATTAGCAAGAAATGCATGGATGAAGGGAAGATCATTTTAGGGGCAGACAGCAGGAAATGTATAAGTGGAGGATGTAAATATCTGCAAAGAAGACATTCCAGACTTTGCATGAGAACAGAATGCAGGCCACATAGAAGATGGCCTGGTAGGGGTTATATGGGCCCATGGTGTACCCCCTTACTTACTTAATAAGTCAGACTTATTAAGAAGGTCATGGGAGTCAATAGCACTCAATCAAAAGAAGGATATGGCAGGACTTGCCTGGGAACAGAATGCCAGCAACCTAAGTACACCAAAAGTAGATGTGTGGGTATTAGTTTCAGCCAGCCTAGGAGAGTTATATTGGAAGGTTCATGGGTGGAAGTTGCAACCAGCATCTGGGAGGATATGACAGGAGATGCATGGGTGAAAATTACAGCCAGCCTATGGGAGGTCTCCCTAGAGATTCATGGGTGGAGGTTGAAGTCACTTAATTGCAGGTGGGTTATAGGGGAGGAGGTGAATGAGTGGATGAAACAACGAGACTATGGGAAGACTTGGTAGGCACTGCATGTTGCGGGTAGGGAGGGAGTTGCAACAAACCTAAGGAAGGAGTTGGTAGGAGCTCCGTAGCTGGAAGAAAAAAACAGGCCAGAGCAGAATGTAGCCAGCCTAGGGGAGGGTCCTTCTGGAAATGCTTATGTAGAGGTATCAAACAGCCTAGAATAGGATCCTACAGGCTGTTCATGAAAGAAGGGATTATCTAAGAGAGTCAATTACCTAGCAGGCAGTATATATGTGATTATTAAAGTCATCTTAAAGGAAATCCTTCTGAGAGTGAAGGTATTAGGGATCCTCTAGTATAGGTCAGAAGTGTATGGGTGCAGGGAATATTCATCCTAGAGGAGACCTTGTGTGTTGTCCATGGGGCAGGGGACAACCATCCTAGAGGAGTAGTGCATGTGTTGAGGGATGGACTTGAGAGGTAGGAGAAACGTGGGTGGAGCGTGCAGCCAGCTAAATGCATGGTAAAAAGTACATGGGGCGAAGGAGAGTGAAACCCAGGGCAGGCCTCAGCATGTGGTATAGGGGTGGAGGCTACATTTAGTCTAGAAGTGGACATGGCAGGAGGATTATGGGTTGAGGAAACATCCAGCCTAGTGGGAGGAATCTGTAGGCAGTGCCCTGGAGGAAATATTATGCAGTATATGGTAGAACCCTACAAGTGATGGATGTATGGAGGGAACATCTAGCTTAGTGGGGTATGCAGCAAGCAGTTCATGTATAGTGAGTACAGCTGGCTCACAGAAAGATCTATCAGAAGATGCATGTATGGATGGAGCATCCAGACTGGGAGAGGACTTGAACAAATGAACCCTGCCTGGCAGAGGCTCCTGAAGAAGGTGAATTGCTTGAACGCACAGCTAACCCGGGGTGGATATAGCAGGAGGTGTAAGGATTTAAGCTGCAGTCAGCCTACTTGAGGACCTGGTAGGCATTGCATGTGTGGAAGGCGCAGCATGTCTGGGGTGGTCACAACAGGAAGTCTGAGGATGCATGGTGAAGTCATCTCAAGGGTGAAGTCATCTTACAGTAGTAAGTTAATGGGTGGGTTCACATTGAGCCTGGAGTGAAGGTATATACTGCAGAAGGTGCATAAATACAGATTGCAGCCAGCCTAGGAGAGAAATTGCAGAATATGCATGGGTGAAGTCAGCAGCAACTAATGGAGGATATGGCAGCTGCTGCATGGGTGAAGGATGAATCAAGCCTAGGGAAGGGCATAAAAGACAATTCAGGGGTGCAGAATGCAAGCAGCTAAATGAGAATGCAAACCGTGCATTCATGGAGAGATTCCAGTCAGCCTAGGGTAGAACATGGCTGGAGATGTGTGGCTACAAGTTTCAGGTTAGCCTAGGGGGAGATCAGCAGAATATCATATGTGAAGGGAGCATCCAGCCTAGGGGAAGAATTGGTAGGATGTGCAGGGGTATGATTGGTAGGATTGTTAGAGGGAACAGCCAGACTAGGGTAGTTCTCATCAACAAATGCAATGGGGGAGTGTACAGTCTGCCCAGAGGTGGACTCAACAGCACACTCATAGGCAGAGAGAGAATCCTGCCTAGATGAAGAGAAGCAGAAGATGCACCATTGGAGGCTACATCCTGCCTGATATGGCAGTTGGTGCATGGTTGGAGCGTGTGGTCAGCCTAAGGAAAGATGTGATAGGAGGTGCATGGGTACAAGTTACTGGCAGACTAAATGAAGATCTAACATTTATGCCTGGGTAGAGGATCCAGCCTGACTAGCGGAGAACAAGGCAGAATATGTATGCTGGCAAATTTAGCCATCTGAGGGGAGTAGGAGCATCCTTAGAAAAGGACCAATGATCAGCAGATGACATATGCAAGGAAAGAGAATTTAGACAAGGAGAATACTAACAGTTGGAAAATGGGGGCAGGCTGCAGCCAGATTATGAAAGAACATGTCAAGATATGCATTGGTGCAGAGAGATGCCAGGTTCTTGGAGGACTCTGCATGAAGTATAAGATTGGAAGACACACCCAGCCTAAAAAAGCCTTCAGCAACAGTTGCAAGATAGAGGTTACACTTAGTCTAAAGAATGGCCTAGAAGTATGTGCTTAGGTGGTGGGAGTATCCTACATAAGATAGAAGCTGCAGGAGATGCATGGTTGGAGGTTGCATCCAGGCTGTGGAAAGGAATGGCAGGAGGTATACGAATAGAGAGGAAATTAGCTTGGGGGCATAATTGGGAGGTGGTGCATGGGTGGAGTGAGCATCCATCCTAAGGGAGAAGAACATAGCAGGAAGTGCATGGCTGCAAGTTTCAACTAACCTAATAAAGCATCTGCGCAAGTGATGGGTGTGTAAAGAGAGCATGCAGACTAGGGAAGGCTTTAGCAAGGCAAACATGGGGGAGTGAGTAGGTAGCTTAGGGGAGGCTCTAGCATGAGTTGTACGACTGAATGTCATAGTAAGGCTAGAGAAGGAAATGTAGGAAATGCATAGATGGAAAAAACATTAAGCCTAGAAGACAAGGAGAAGGTGTATCAGAGGAGGGAGCTTGCAGCCAAGAAGACACCTAGAAGTTGGCACATGGGATCATAGTGGAACATAACATGAGGTGCATTTGATGCAGGGTGCAGTGAGAATCAGGGAGAACCTGGCAAGAAGTGCATGGGTGAAGGGAGCAGCCAGCATAGGGGATGACTCAGCAGGAGGTGCAAAGATGGTGGTGACATTTAGCCTAGAGGAAGACCTGACTGTGTATGCATAGGCAGAGGGAGTAGCCTGCCTAGAGGAGAACCTAGAGGAGATAAATGGATAAAGATTACATCTAGCCTAAAGGTGAGCATGGCTAGAGGATCATAAGCGGAGGGAGCATGCCCACTAGGAGAGGATTTGTCAGGATGTTCAAAGATGGAGGATACACATAGGGGATGACCTGAAGTACTAAGACAGGTGGAGGTAAAATTCTGACTAGGAGAAGAGGCACAGGAGATCCATGGTTGTAATATGTAGCCACTTAGGGAAAGACTGGCAATAAACACATGGGTTGAAGGAGCACTCAGTCTAGGGGAAGATTTGAAAGGAGGTGCATGAATGGAAGAAACATTGATCCTAAGGAAGGACTCAGCAGGAAAGACATGAGTTGAGGGAGTTTCAATCCTTATGAGAGAAATATGCAGAATGGGTGTATGGGTGGCCTAGGCATTCAACCTAAGGCATGATTCAGCAGGACAGACCTGATTGGAGAGAAAACAAATTAATATCAAACTTCTTGGCAAGTCAGGTTTGAAGATTTTAGCCAACCTAGGAAAGGATCAGATAGAAAGTAAGAATGTGGAGGTTGCATCCAAGGTAGGGGAGAACCCAGTAGGTGGTATATGGGCGGATGTGAGNGCAACACCTGCAAAAGCCAGCAGCACATTTCTGATGCCGCCTTCTAGGTCCTCTACGTGGACGAACTCCACAAACCCATCCCAGCCTCTTTGTTTGACTAGCCAGTCCCGTTTTGTCCTTACGAGAACGTCTGTGATACTTTCTGCTAATGGTTCGATGCAGCTTTCTTGGTTTATGCTCTTCAAGTGTTTGGCCACAAAGGCACCAAAAGAAATTAGAGTCACAATCCTGCCCCAGTTTGTTACGCCGTCACTGAAAACATGGACCATCACTCGAGACAAAGATTTGACATCCTCTTCGTTTTTGATGTCCAATTTCCGAAGCATGCCTTGGAAGGCCATCTCGTGGTTGCGCTGCACGCCGTCCCCGACCCGTCGTAGGGTCTCCAGCGCCTTCCTGCTGGCGGCCCCAGACCAGCCCATCCGCTTCGCGTCCTTGGAGCCGGTTGCCTGCTCTCGAAGGTAGCGAGAGATAATCTCCAGGGACTGCCGGTACAACTCGTCCTCCTCCTCCTCTGCTGGGGGCGGCGTCGAGGGGAGTGACCCGTCCGTGCTGGGGCCATTATTGGCCTCCCCGACCAACTCCAACAGAGGCAGGACAGCCGGCTGCTTCCCGAGAGGCTCCGGCTCGTACCCATCCAGCTCCTCCTCCGGAGACATGATGGCGTCGGCGGCTTCCANGCATGAAGCGAAAAGCCTAAGAAAGGATCCAGTAGTAAGTGTATGAGTAGACAGCATCCAGTCTAGGGAAGGATATGGCCAAAGGCCCATGGGTGCAGTCTGCAGTCAGCCTAAACCCCAAAGTTATAGGTGTATTGGTGCAACGTTCAGTGAGCCTAGAGGATATAATATGGAATGAAACAGTGTAAGAAATTCTAGTATAGAAGAAGGCTAAGCAGGAAGTTTATTTATTTATTTTTTTAACAGTAAGTATTTGTTTTATTGATACACTAGGCTTAGACCTGTGTTTAACAAGCAAGCCTAATAATAGCACCATGGTCAGACTCTAGCCTGCTTTTCCAAGCCATCATTTTACAATTTATTAAGCAAACAAGGGATCAAATGTCTCGCATCCACCCGATGTGATCTTTTTATACACACATTGGTAATAAGTCCCCCATTTTGAACAGCTGAAAATCTTTTAGTAAAAGCTTTAAAGATGAGCTCATGAACTCAGTTTAAATTTCACCAGTTAAATTAAGTCAAATGGAAGAAGGAACTCAATGAGTAGCTACCCAATCAGAGCCTATTATTTGTAAATCATGTGTCTCCCCCACAACCTTAAAACTCCACTTTGACTTAATTATTGAAAACCTGCATAACGAAGTTAATTTCCATTCCTTAACCTCTCAATCCCAGGTTTTCGAAAAAAACTTAAGAAATACTTACCAAAACCAGATAGGAAAATTAAAGCCTGCATAGTGATGAATCAGATTTGTTCTACTACAACCTGGTTGCATACAATTACACCAATTGGTTCTTTACACAATCTAGAAACTGAGCAAGACAAAGTACAAAAGCTGTAAGAAATAGGTTTCTAACTACAGAAGTTGCAAATTTCAAAAGGTATGAAAAAAACTATGTAAATTCAAAACTCTCCTTCCTTTGTTTCAAAGAAATAAACTTTCTGTAAAAATATATACAATTTTTACAGACAAATACATTTACAAGTTTTCTTGTCTTAAAAATTGAGGATATTACGTATTGGTAACTAATTACTGAGCCTTAAGTCAAGTATTCTTGGCCATTACTAGGATAATAAACTAAGAATCATTCAAACCAAGCCAAAGTAGAACAGGTATAAAAGTCCTGAACAGTTGGACTTTTAGATCCATTTTACACAGGTCACTGGTATTGTTAGTGCTTCTAACACTATAGAAAATTAATGAATTTGGTGGGAATATTTAATGAATTCTATGACTAGCCTAGCTACTGGCCACCCTCCTGTTCTAGACAAGGAAATTAAGTCTTTCCACCCTATCAACTTCACTAAATCTAAAAAGTCCTTCTCCATGGCCTCTCAAACAAGTTTGCTTGCTGCTGAACTGAAATTTGCTTCTTTCAGACTGTGACTCTTCCAGGGGGAATACTTTTTCCCATGTATTTATTCTTGTTAGCCATAATCCTCTTGCCACTTGTTTTTCTGGCTAGGCTGCTAGAATAGAACTCTTGGAGATTACAGCCTGGGCAGTTTGAAGTCCAACTTCATAAATACATTTGATTTCACAGAAGTATGTGGTTTTGGTGGCTGGAGTTGGTTAAGAGTCAATTATTGCACTTACAAGGCTATCTTATTAGATATGCCAAACCAGCTCCTACTCCAGCAACACCTGCAAAAGCCAGCAGCACATTTCTGATGCCGCCTTCTAGGTCCTCTACGTGGAAGAACTCCACAAACCCATCCTAGAAAACAAAAAAGAAAAGCACATTTTCAAGTATGGGTTTCTGCTGTCATAAGAACGCTATATACAAATAAAAGATAAATTAAAATACCTAAGGTTCCCAAAACAATGACGAACCAATTATTATTCACTACTGGGATGCAAAAATAGACGTTTCCTGAGTTCTTCAGTTCAGTAAGTGAGCACTCATAATAGTTAAATTTGATTTGATTTTACAGTACTATCTTGGTCATATTAGGATTATCTAGGCAAAGGAATTTTGAAGAGTTCCTGTTATTTAGGTAAAAGACGAAAACCCTTATTCTTATATCCCCACCATCTAAATATCTCAACTGCGAAGAGCAGTCTTTCTCAGCGTGGTTAAAGACATCCTGCAACAGAACCATCTGGGTGTATACTTAAAACGCAGGCTACTCCCCCCCCCACCTAGTCAATTAAAACGAGGAACGTTAGCTATCATCCCCAGAAGACTTTTATTTCTCCATGGTTTGAATCCACTGGTAAGAAGAGTATCCAACTGAATTACAACGAAAATAGCCTACAGAAAACCAAGATTTTTGATACAATTGAAGACCACCAAGCCACTATCCCTAGGGACCCACTACTTAACATCAAGTAACCAGAGGTCCAGGAGTTACAGCCTGGAAACAGTCATACGTCACAAAAACCTTTAGATATTCTCACCTTCTCTAGAAAATCCTTCATTCCATTTCCACTCCAAGCCCCCTTCAACCTTAAAGCAAACTTACCCAGCCTCTTTGTTTGACTAGCCAGTCCCGTTTTGTCCTTACGAGAACGTCTGTGATACTTTCTGCTAATGGTTCGATGCAGCTTTCTTGGTTTATGCTCTTCAAGTGTTTGGCCACAAAGGCACCAAAAGAAATTAGAGTCACAATCCTGCCCCAGTTTGTTACGCCGTCACTGAAAACATGGACCATCACTCGAGACAAAGATTTGACATCGTTTTCGTTTTTGATGTCCAATTTCCGAAGCATGCCTTGGAAGGCCGTCTCGTGGTTGCGCTGCACGCCGTCCCCGACCCGTCGTAGGGTCTCCAGCGCCTTCCTGCTGGCGGCCCCAGACCCTCCCATGGGCTTCGCGTCCTTGGAGCCGGTTGCCTGCTCTCGAAGGTAGCGAGAGATAATCTCCAGGGACTGCCCGTACAACTCGTCCTCCTCCTCCTCTGCTGGGGGTGGCGTCGAGGGGAGTGACCCGTCCGTGCTGGGGCCATTATTGGCCTCCCCGACCAACTCCAACAGAGGCAGGATAGCCGGCCGCTTCCCGAGCGGCTCCGGCTCGTACCCATCCAGCTCCTCCTCCGGAGACATGATGGCGTCGGCGGCTTCCANCGGGAGATATATGGAAAGAGGGAGAATTCAACTAAGGGTATTCCTAGGAGGTGGTGCATGGTAAGGCTGTAGCCATCCTATAGGAGGATTTATTAATATGTTCATTGGTTCCAGTTTCATCCAAGCTTTAATAAGACCCAGCTGGAGGTACGTGATGTTATTGAGCAGCCAAGCTGGGGTAAGTTTCAGCAAAATTTTCAAAGGTGGAAGGTACAACCAGCCAAAAGGAGGACACAGCAGTACTTTCACAGGTGAAGGTAGAATTCTGCTTAGAGGAAGAGGAGAAGGAGATGAATTGGTGGAAGTTGAAGCCAGCCTAAGAGAGGATAAGGCACAAGGTGCACAGATGGAGAGTGCAGCAAGCCTGGAGGACAATCTGGCAGGAAGTGCTTGGGTGGAGGGAAAAACTAGCTTAAGGAAATGAATGGTAGGTGGTACATTGTTGGGGGCTGAATGTGCCCTAGGGAAAAACATGGCAGCAGACACAGGGAAAATCCGAGGAAATTCCCTGAAGAAGGTGCACTGATCAATGTTTCAGCCAGTTCTGGGGCAAACAAAATACGCTGTTCATGGTTTCAGGGTAAAGCCACGGTAGAAGAGTACCCACCAGTTAGTTCATGTGTGGAGAAAACCTTAGATGTTAAATAAGAACATCAGGATGTATATGGGAGGAAGGAGCATTCCTCCACAGGGAGACCTGGAATGAGGTGCGTGTGTATAAGGTGCATCCAGCCTAGCGGTGGACACAGTAGGAACTATATTGTTGAAGGAGCAACAAGCCTATTAGAGGGCTTAGCAGAGGGCTCATGAATGGAGGGCACATCTAGCTTACTGGAGGACCTAGCAGAAAGTACATAGGTGAAGTGTGCAGTCGTAGGAGAGGAGGCCCTGGCAGGAATTTCATGGGATTAGGGTGCAACCAGCCTTGGGGTGAACTTGGCAAGACGTTCATGGGAAGAAAAAGCATCAGCCTTGGAAGAGGTCCACAAGAATATATATGCAAAGAGGGAGTAGTCAGCCTATATGATACCTATCAGCTGCTGCATATGTGTTTGGTGAAGCCAGGCTAAAGGAGAACCCATAAAATGGGGCCTGGGAGGAGGGAACATTCAGAAAATAGGGAGATCTGGCAGGAAGTGTCTAGGGGCACGAAGTGTCAGCACTGGGGGAGGATATCACAGTAGGTGCATGGTGCAGAATGCAACTAGTGAAGGGGAGGATACTCAGGAGATGCATGGTTAGTGGCCACAGCCAACCTATTCGAAGATACAATAGTACAAGTTTGTAAGATGCAGCAAGTCTGGGGGCAGAGGCAGGTGCACATGCATGCAAATTCAGGAAGCCTAAATAAGGATCCAACAGTAGGTGCATAAGTGGAAGTTTCAGCCAGGATAGAGGAGGTCATTGCTGGATATTCATGTTTTAAAATTTCAGACACCCTAGAGGAGTATCAACAAGAAGTGTGTGGTTGGACTCATCATCCAGCCGAAGGCAGTACTAGGCAGGATGTTCATAAGAGGAAAGAACACCAGGCTAGAAGAAGCCCCAGCAGGAAGTACATGGGTACAGTGTGCAGCCAGCCTAGAGAAGGTCCCTGCAAGAAGTGCAGGGATGGAGAAAGCATCAGGCCTGGAAAATGACCAACAGGAGGAGGGATCATTTAGCCAAAGGGAGTTCTAGTCGGTGGAAATGGGGTCAGGTTGAAACCAGACTATGGTAGGACATATTAGGATGTGCATTGCTGACCTTGCTGGAAGTTCATGGTTAAAAGGGGGAGCCAGGCAAGGGAAAGTCTGAATAGGA